ACCCCCACTATAGAAAAGTCTCCAGAATTTGTGGTAGCAGTAGTTGTGCATTGTAGGTGACCACATTTGTGACTATTGTATTAGTTATGACAAAATTTATTTTCGGTATGACTATCTGTGTGACCGTCTAATTTGTGACTATCCGTAATCAAATTTATCTTAACGTGATTAACTGTGACCAAATTTATATTCAGCGTCCAGAAATTGTGGTAGCAGTAGTTGTGCATTGTAGGTTACCACATTTGTGACTATTGTATTATTTGAGACAAAATTTATTTTTCAGTATAACTATCTGTGATCGTCTAATTTGTGACTATCTGTAACCAAATTTATCTTAATGTGACTAATTGTGACCAAATTTATATTCAGTGTGACTGTCTGTGACTAGGTTAATTTTAACAGTGATGGTATTTGCCCAAACCACAACTGATCACAATTAACACATACTTGGTCACATAGGGTTACGATAAAAAAAATCTGCACACACCGTAGACCAGCACCACAATCTACCACTAGCCACCACCACTATTACCTCCAATGAACCAACATTACCACCTTCACCTCAAATTCACAACCATAAATATTACATTTACCTCAAATCCACTACAACAATCATCACTTCCACCAACACCTTCAACAAACACTAACGAGCACCAACACACAACCAAATGTAGATCAACACAACTGTAGATTTCACCACCTACAGATCTACACACCACAATCACAGCCACCAATATTGGAGGTGACAAATCGACATCGTGCTCCACTACAACAACTCCAATCGGGGACAAAGCTTCACATTCCGACCGTAATAGGTTGCTGTGTTAGCACTACCACCAGCTTATTCGCTCCAAATTCTCCCATTTTCAAGTCAAACTCCATTAAATCTCCACCATCCATAGAGCCATTGTTAAAAGAAGAAATAGTTAAATAAGCTCGCTGGAAGTCAACGTCGAAGTTCAGGAACCAGTCGTTTTTCGTCAAAGTAAAGTAGGATAGAGCAATGAAGAAGTCTACGATGAGAAGGGCCGAGTCATCACCATTTCAAATTAATTTCAGGATGGAGGGTCCGATAGCCAGCAGTCTTCGCCGCTGCTTCCATAAGCGCTACGAGCGGAGCTCGCGCTCGCTGCTACTTGCACAAGCAATGGTGTCGATAGCTTCTTCGTTGCGATCGGTATGTTTCTTTCTTTGCCATGCTGCAAACGACGATTTCGTCGCATCGAGAGAGAGAGAGAGAGAGAGAGAGAGAGAGAGGTGGAAATTAAAATTTAGGGCTTGGATTTGGGAATGAAATGGGGGTGTAGTGGGTGGTGAGTATGTAGATTAGGTTTAATTAAATTTTTGTTAATTATAATTATTAAAATCTAATTACCACTTGATTTATGAAATGAAAATTAATCCCATTTATTTTTTAAAATTAGTCTTCAAATGTAGATTTTTAGGTAATTTTCACTAAAAATATAGATTAATTTATAAGGGTCTGTTACTTCTTATAATAAGATTAACATTTTAAGAGAAATAGTTCAAATCCTTATAAATTTATTCGATGTGGAATTTTTATCACTTAAACAACTTCCGAAGTAACGTGGTTTAATAATGTCCACATATTGCAATATTAGTATTAAGTGAATTGAATGTAGTTTTAAATATAATAGTTAACTAACGAATTATATATATAATATATTAAATATCACATCAAGTGATAATAATTTTTTGACGATTTTAACCCTACTATATTTCAATAATTTCGATAATATCTTATTTTTTGTTTTTCATATATATAATAAATACTACAGAATCCTTGTTATGTATGAATTTCAAATAATGTTATTTATAGTCGTTCACTGCAGCAGTCAACATATGTGGCACACATATGTTAAATGTGTATTTAATGATTTAATGTGGTAAAAAAAAACTACCATGTTAATGCATCAAATAACTACATGTCATGTGTGTGCTACATAGGGCGACTACTGCAGTGAGCGACTATGAACAACATTACTCATGAATTTCATATTATTCATTCTCAATTAATTAATAGTCACATTAATCTAGATGAATCTTGATTTCATGAATCTATAGTTATTATAGATGAATTTATTTCTATTCATGTATTTAAGAATTTTAATGAGTTTTTAAATTCATGTATTAGCAATTAATTCTTATGTGTCAAATGTAGTATAAAAATGTTGCTCATTTGTATTATTTCATCGTCACAAAAATTTTAAATAATAGAAGTTGAGTTCTAAGAATACGATTTGCTTCTCTTAAAATTGTATCCTGATGAAGGCAAAATAATAACTCAATTTAATTTCGAGTTTGTTCGTTTTTGACGAATTGCTAGTCTAATTTGAGTGGAAACGGG